GCCAGGTATTATTCCCCCATTGTCCCCCATAGTGCAATTATAGCTCATTTTTGTGACTCGACTAAAGTTACCCTTTGTTTTTAACCATCTAAATACCTGCGCAACAAGGCAATCAATGCTCGCAGGTCCTTGTTGTAGAAGAACACTAAACCCGTTTTCCAGCAGGTGTTGGGCCCCACCAATAGACTAGAGCATCAAGGGTTCTCACTAGGGGGAATGCTCTCATAACCTCTCATTGCGAGGAGATTGGGTTTTCCGAGGTTTGGAGGAGAGAGGGATATGAAGTTGCTGCCGCCGCAACAAAAAAATTCCCATGAAAAATTAAAGTTGAAAAAACATCCCTTCAAAAAATCCTTCATATTATAAATTATCATTCCAATGTTCATCCAATTCTAAAATTTACAGTTTTATTTGATAAGTTCCCATGTAAATACGAGTTCTCCCTTCCAACTACATCTATTTATTCAAGATGGAATGGAAGTCTGGACGAGTTTATGAAATATCTTAATTAAACTTTCATTCTACTACAACAGATATCTTCTAATTTATATTGAATTAACCTATTTATGATTGAAAATCCTTATATAGATTGACAATCCAATTGAAATATTTCATGAACTCATCAAGACTTTCATTTCATCTCTTGCATGTAGTTCAAATAAGAAAGGATACCCCATTCTTGGAACGAAAGTTTTCAAGTAAGACGAAAATTTTTAAAATTGAAATAACATTTTTTAAAATGGAATAAAATTTCAAAATTAAGAATGTAATTTTACTATAGAATGATTATTTAATCCTGGAATTTTTTTTTTTTCATCTACAAGAAATCCACATTAGAGGTTCGCGGCACCATTATGGATACTCACCATGTTGGTCACCCTTTTTGCAATATGGATTAAAAGAAGAGGAATGAAGGTTCAACTCGTATGGAGGTGTAAATGGTTGGGTCCATAATTCATCTCGCGTTATCGTGTCCACTCTCGAGGAGGATTTGGTTTTGATGGAGGGATCACTGGGATCGCATCTGTAGGAACCGTTTTATTTGGGATGAAGACCGGTGTCAGAGGGCGCGGTGTCCCGACCCTCCTCCGTGTACAAAGTCCCTGCTTGGTATAGTCCCTAGCGTCGGTGCCTCGGCCTGTAGATGTGTCTTGGGTTTCCGTTGCCGTTAGTGCCCAGGCCGTGCTTCGGCTCAGACCAATCCCGGTGGCTGTGCCCTTGACAAAAGGGGTGTGCCACAGGACTTCCATTGGTCAACGCAGGCTCGGCGCCCTGCTGTACAGCAGAGCACAACCGGCCTGTGGTTGTGGTAGCCGCCGGGTTCGCCCTGGGACGCAGAAGTAGACAAGTCGGCACTGTTTTTTCTACTGCGCGCCGAACACCTTCTAGCTAGGTTATGGGTTAGGTGCGCGCGATAGATATCGTTGTTGAAAAATGACAAAAAAAATAGGAATAAGAAAAGAGAAAAATATGGGAAAATAAAAATAGAAAGAAAGAAAACCAACAGACAAGCTTATGGGAAGCCCTAAGTTCCTGTTTTAATTTGGGGTTGGCCGGGGGTCTGAGTTCTCTAGTCGCAGTCACTGTCAGATAGGTTGGCTTGCTCGAGTTAAGGGGTTGCCTGGTTTAGGGTCATGAATCGGGGCAGGTGAAGACGTGATAGGGACTCGTGCGGATATTTTAGCTGTGCACTGGTCCCCAGTAGCCACGTTAAAAGGGTAAAAGAGGAAATAAGAAAATGAGAATAGAACAAAAGAGGACGGAACGTCTGATCGGCATGTAGATCAGAGTCGTCGCCTTAGTCTGGAGTAATCTGGCGGCGGCTGTCCACTTCCTATTATAGTTATTATTATTATTTAGGATTTTTCTTTTTGTTACGAGTGCGGACTTTTCCTTTTGATTATTTTTTCCCCTTTTCGTCGCTTCGCGGCTTCGCGGGAGATCAAACGGTTCGAATCTTGAATATGGTCGTAGTCTGCGGTCCAGACTCATTAGATCTGTCGTTCTTGCACTGATGGTTGGGAGGTCCGTCCAGATGCCGCGTGGTAGAACCCCAAAAGAGGGGCGACCCGCCTCATCGATAGGAGGGTTATCACCCCCCTCATGAAGGGTCATAAGCCCCCTCCTTGCCATCGGACATGGGCACCCGGTAGCTGTAGTCTGGTGCTCCCCTTTTAGAGCAGAGGGTTTGCCAGATGGTATCCCGTTATGGTACCAAACGTGCTAAGCTCGGTTGTCTTGTCTGAGGTGACAGGGCCTACGACCATTGGGGTACTGGCTCTGTTTTCATTATTATTCCTATTTTTTTTTTTTAATAACAAAAATTAAAGGAAAGGAAAAGGGGAAGTGATTCTGAAAATTTTGTTTGTTTCCCGCTAGAACACGGGGATTCGGTCCCTTCTGAGTTCTATAAGACAGGGGCTGATCTTGGGCTTCTAAAAAGGATGGGTGAAGAGGGCATTGCTGCTCCGTGAGTGTGAGTAGCGATAATACGCTGAGTTGTTGATTCTCGACGGTATTCGAACTGAACTTGACCGGCATCCCTGTGTGCAAGGCATGCAAACTGAGCGCTGGCCCTGGCTATTGAGGGAAAAAGGAGGCATTGGCCTAGGTGGTGTGCTTCCCAGCGAGCGTCACTGTGTTAGTGACCTGGCACTGCGTTGAGGCCATTGGGTACGGTCTAGCCATGGCGCTGCATGGCTATAGGCCTGGGTACTGGTATCACCAAGTCCGTTGGAAGCTCGTGTCCGGGGAAAGGCCCTGGATCACCGTCATACTCAACTACAACGGTGGAGACGAGGTGCTACTGAAGATCAACGTGGAGGGAGCAAAAAAGGTGGAGATGCGGACCGATGGAAAACTGCAAGACGCGATTACAGAGGCGAGAGATCGAGCGGAGAGACGCTGTAGGAGGGACGGTGTGACAGCGAGACTACGGATAACGGTGACTTACCAAGAGACAGAGACTTCGATGGACACGGCGGACCTGGAGCAGGTCCACCAGGACAGGGACTCAGGTGGGGAGAGTGAGATGAGTGAAGCAAGGGATCGGAAAACAGACCTCAGGTCCTGGAATAGACCAGACGAGATCCAGAGGCATCACCGAGTTGCGAAGCCGGTGGAAGAGGGATTTGAGGCCAGCTCGAGACAAATGATGCCTGGAGGCCGCGGGGCGGGGGAGAAACAGAACAAGGGGAAGAGACATATGTAAAAAAAGTGTGTGTGCGACGCATGACACCCCAAGAAAGACTGACGCGTTGTAGCGGACCCACCAGGTGTGGTGCTCCGCTAGTGACAGAGATGGAGATGGAGGAAGAAGGGGGAGCAAGATGGCACAACGCAGCTCCCCACGCAAGACTCCAACGCACGTACTCCAAAATGTGCAAGTGAGGAATGAGATTGAAAACAGACAATGGCTGGGATATACCCCAGCGGACTGACGGGACTGGACTGGACTGGCTGGTACCGACAGAGGTACCGGCCTGGACTGGCCTACCCCGAATATAACACAGGCCTGTGAGAACAGGCCAAGGGGCTGGTCTCACAGGCCAACCCGAGGTCCGCTACACGATCCTCGGCCTGTGATGGATCGCCTAGATACAAACATGCTTCCGCCAAGAAGCGGAACTCTACCAAAG